TGTACACCTATTTAGAATGGCTAAAATTTAAAAATCTAGCAATACCAAACATTGACAAGATTCAGAGCAACAGGAACTCTCATTCATTGCTGGTGGAGATTCAAAATGGTATAGGCACTTTGGAAGACAGTTTGGCGGCTTCTTACAAAGCTAAACACAAGGTTACATGATTTATCAATTCCACCCCTAGGTATTTTTCTAACTGAGTAGATATGTATCCACACAAAAACTTGCATACAAATGATTACAGCAGAATTATTCATAATCATCCAAAACTGAAAACAAGTAAGATGGCCTAAAGTAGATGAATGGATAAACTGGTACATCAGTTTCAATATTGTTCAATATTATACAGGAATAAAAAATAGTGAGCTATCTTGCCACTAAAAGACATAGAAGAACCTTAAATGCATATTGCTAAGTGAAGGTGCTAATCTGAACAGGCACATACTATATGATTCCAATTATGACATCCTGAAAAAGGCAAAACTGTGGAAACATTAAAAAGACCAGTGGTTAACTGGGCTTCATCTGAAGGAGGGAAGGGATGAACAGGTGAGTCAGGTAATTTTTAGGCTGATGAACTATCCTGTATAATGTAATGTTGGACACATGTCATCATCCATCTGTCAAAACCCATAGAATTAATTGTACAGTACAAAGAGTGAACTTTAACCTAAACTGCAGACTTTAGTTAATAATGTATCAGTATCAATTTTAACAATTGTGCGACACTAATGCAAAATGTTAATAATAGGGGAAACTATGTGTGTCAAGTATGGGGGTAATATATGGGAATTCCATGTGCTCTTACTTTTAATAAATGCTTGGGAGAGAAGTGAATGTTAGATGTTTAAGTCAAGCATGACAAAACAGACCTTTTACAGGGTATAACAAAAAAAACTTAAAGGTTGAAAAGGTAGGGGGGAAATCCCCATAGTGAATATCATGATTGGTGATTAAAAAGTGACAGCTTTCTCTCTGAAATAACAATGAGAAAAAGCTGTCTTTCATTACCATTAGTACACTAGAGAAGATCATAGCCACTTCAATAAGGCAAGAAAAAGAAATTAAAAGTATTGTAAAGGAAGAAAATCAAATGAATTGTTTCTGTATGTAGAAAATGATTAGAATTGGGGCATCTGGGTGGCTCAGTTGGTTAATTGTCTGCCTTTGGCTCAAGTCATGATCCTAGGGTCCTGAGATCAAGCCTCATGTTGGGCTCCCTGCTCAGTGGAGAGCCTGATTCTCACTCTCCCTCTGTTCCTCCCCCTTGCTTATGCTTGTGCTCTCTTCCTTGCTTGCTCTCTCTCTCTCTCAAATAAATAAAGTACTAAAAAAAAGAAAATCTTTAGGATTTAGTAATGAATTTGGAAAGGCTACTGGATATAAGCTAAATATGTGGAAATTAACTATGTATATTAACAATTAGAAAAAGATATTGAAGGAGTACCCGGCTGATTCAGTTGGTAGAGCATGTGACTCTTAATCTCGGGGTCATGAGCTCAAGCCCCACTTTGGGCATAGAGATTACTTAAAAAAAAAAAACAAAAGAGAAAATGACATTTAAAAATTCCTTTTTAATAGTAACACTTTAAATAACTGTGGGTGGTGGAATCTAAAGATGAGGCAGAGTAGCTATATGGAAAACTGCAAAAATTACTATGAGAAATTAAAGACATCCTAAGTAAATAATGGAATATATCATGTTTCTGGACTGGAAGACTATATTGTGAAGATTTCAATTCTCCCCGAAGTTTCTATAAATGCAGTGTAATCTCAGTAAAAATTTCATAAAGTTCTTGTGAAAATTGACATGCTGATTCTAAAATGTAAGTGGAAATTCTAAGAACCAAGAATAGCCAAGGTAATCTTGAAGAAGAACAAAATTGAAGGACTTACATTACCAGACATCAAGACTTATAAAGCTTCATAATTAAAACAGCCTCATGGCATAAAGGTAGAAAACAGACCAGTAGACTAGAATACAAAGTCTAGAAGCACATCCACTCTGGTATACCCCTGTATATATTTCTTTATAACCAATTTGTACACTGCAGTGCTTTCCCAATGAAGGGTGAAGTTATCACATTTAAGGTAGGAAGCAATTTCCAAGAAAAGAAAGAAGAAAAAAAAAATGCTTTGGAAAGGCCAGAACGCAATTTCCCAGGACTCTAACTCTTCTAGTTATCTCTGTTTCTATTGCCAGTGTCCCACACTCTGTCATTTAAGGCATTTATTTCATCCACTGAAACATGATTCAGGAATTTGGCTTAGGATGCAGTTTGGCAGTTTGGAGTTCTATCATGCCTATTTAACTTGTGCAAATACAACTACATATATTCATGGGGTGATAGGAAGAGGGAAAATAATGTAAACACCAAAGGCAATCTACTTTTTCATTCAGTAACCATAAAATTTGGTAGTAACCATGAGATGAAAAATGTAAACTTGTGTTCCAGCTGTTGGTTCTCATGTGTATCTGGATGTGTGAGCATTTTGCTTCAGTTAGTGTGATCCTTGCATTCAAAGATAGGTGATTTCCATACGGCATGCTCACTAAGCACAATTACTTCATCTGCTCTTCAGTTGAAGAAATAGCATTTAGTCCAATCCTGAGGGAAGAACATCTGTGTTAAACTTTCTGAGGCTGTATATGATAGTAGTCATAGGCTTGGGCTCTCAAGCCAGCCCACCTGGGTTCAAATCCCAGCTCTGCTCTTCCTATCTGTGTGGACTGGGCAGGTTACTTAATCTTTCTGTGCTCCATGTCATTCTCCAAAAAACAGAGATAATAGCATCTTATAACAGTGTTGAGATAATTAAATGACTAACAAACTGTGGCTAGCACATAGTAAATACATAATCAAAGTTAGCTATTTTTATCAATATCAGTGCAATTGTTCTTACTAAGAGGTGATAGAATGTGGTCTCCAAGGTAGTACAGTCTTAAGAGATTCTCAAGGAAAACTTACCTAACTCCTTTTTCACCTAGGTTTGTAGGTTTTAGAACCCAACCCTGGCATGAAATACTCTACCATATGCATTTCTCTATCTGGTCCTTGGTCTTTTAGAGAGCTAGTGATGAGTTGTGGCTCATTGTGGAATGGTCATATGGTATAGAACATGGATGTTAAGGAAGAAAGGCCTATGGGTGGGCAAGATGTATTTCCATAGAGGCAACGTAGGTGTTTGCAGACACCCTGAAATATGTTTAGCATATACTTTAGTGCATATTTTCAGCCACCAGCATTTTCCTATATACAAAGTTCCACTGAGTCTTTTAAGATCAACACAGCCCTTATGCTTCCATCGTTTGCTTTTCACCAGAAAATTATTGGAGCCTATATTGTAGAGTGGTATCTGTAGCATCACTAGTCCTGTGGTGCTACTTGTGTATACATTATTGTAGGTTACAATGCTCTGGTGTTTTATGGATCTGTTATCCTTCCCTAAGCCCATGGATTTTTCAACTCACCACTGATTGTTACCTTTGAAGTACTTTGAAGAACTTTATAGGTAGCTGTTTGCTATCTTACCTTCTCCCCCTTCTACACACAGACACAAACTCTCATTTATCTCCCAGGACTATATGGATTCAGATCCTATATTGTCCCTCACCTTATCCTCACTCACCTTTTTTCTCACAGAAAAGCTGTTCTTTATTTGCAGCTATTACTACACAGCACTGAGACACATGGCAGCTATTTGCCACTGTGCTATCATCAGCAACTCCTCTCCACTGCCGGTGTTGGGACCTCACTCAGACCCATGCTGACAGCTACTGCTTCCTCTAGGAGCACTGCTGATGTCAACTAGGTTTTTGTTTACTTCTCTGCTTTTCTTTTTCCCCATCTTTCCCATCTTCTGTGGTTCTTGGCTTCAATTCAATTATAACTGGTCACTATAGAACTTACCAATGAATGGGCTCCATCTTTCTGCCCTGTGAACAAATACATCAAAACCAAATGGGTTTTATCATTGAGTCCTTCGTGGCTGTGTTACATGAGGCTCAGGCATCTGAGCCTGTTTGGTACATCTACTACCAGAAGAGGGGGTTTGTACTGTGTGTTAGGGACATGAGAATTAGAAGGATTTAGCTTTCCTGAGGCTTAGTGTGTAGGAGATTAGACAGTTGGTTTTTGAATAGGACAAGTTACGATCTGCTATCTCATGTCCAGGTCTTAGAACAAGGCACTTAAAAGTTTAATGGGTTTTGTTTTAAGGGGATTTTTGTAGTGTGTCTAAAACAGCTTTGGAACATGTGAATATTTAATATTTCACAGTAGTGATGTAAAAATTATAATGAGCTTGTGTATTGCAAACTGAAAAATCTTGAAAAAACTTGTGATATATGCAGATGGCATATTAGATTTTATCTTTCAAGGTGTAAATATCCTAAAATGTTAATATCGTCTCATTTTTTTGTTTTTCCCCTTTCTTCCTAGAATATTTTCCTTCTTGGATATAGTAACTTTGTGCCGATGTGCACAGATTTCCAAGGTAGAGTATTAACCAGATTTTTGTCAATCAATATTGAGTTTTATTATAATGAGAATGAGTTTTAGTTCAAACAGGCAGTTACCTTTATTTTTTTAATTTAATTTTTTTAAGAGAGTGTGCACACATGCTTATGCATAAATGGGGGAGGGGCAGCAGGACACAAGGAGAGAGAGAGAATTTTAAGTAGACTCCATGTCTAGTGCAGAGCCAGTGCAGGGCTCAATCCCATGACCCCAAGATCATAATCTGAGCCAAAATCAAGAGTTGGATGCTTAACCGACTGAGCCACTGAAGTGCCACAAGCAGTGAACTTTAAATATCATCTTTTATATTTAACCTAACATGGAGTTACTATAATTCTATATTTGATAGTCAACTTAATGTATATCAAGAATAAAAGTTGGGAAATACAAAGGTTGAATCAGGATTTCCATTAACAGTCTAACTTAGTGTATCCGTTTCACTCCCACCTCTCCTCCTGTACCTCCCCACTCCAGGCCTGGAACATCTTAGCCCTGGATGGAAGCAACTGGCAAAGAATAGACCTTTTTAACTTTCAAACAGATGTAGAGGTAAGTTAGCTTTATTTTAGACAAAAGACTTTTTTAAAAAGATCAGTAAAATGGTCACTCTTTCTTGCCTTTTTCTTTTGCTGCATTTAGATTTAATATGAAGGTATCAAGGTGTAATAGAGAAGAAAAAAACCTGGAGAAGGTATCTGTGTACATCAAGACCAAAATTCTGCTCGTATTTTGCTTTGGCTCCGTATCAGTGACAGACTACTTTTCCTCCTTGTTCATGTTTATAACCTTAGTATTACCGCTCAGCTTTTTATTGCCCCATACCTGCATAATTAGGTATGTTCAGTGCTTAAATCTTAGGAGACTCCTGACAAATTATTGATCTGAAAGATCCACTGAGATTCTAATTCAGCATCAAGAATAGAGAAATGGAGGCGGGCAAGATGGCGCCCGGAGAGTGATTCACCCTAGATACGTCCAGCGGCCGCTGAGACACCGGGGCGGGGGGTCCTGCCCCCACTGCCGCCCGTCCTCCTCTCCTCCCGCCCCCGGAGACCCCCCCCCACCCTTCCTCCCTCTACCTCGGGGTGGGGGTGGGGGAGCGGGCCTGGTTCCCGGGACACCATGTTGGACTCGGAGGAGGAGAGCCAGGACCGGCAACTGAAAATGGTCGTGCTGGGGGACGGCACCTCCGGGAAGACCTCCTTAGCTACGTGCTTTGCTCAAGAAACTTTTGGGAAACAGTACAAACAAACTATAGGACTGGATTTCTTTTTGAGAAGGATGACACTTCCAGGAAACTTGAATGTTACTCTTCAAGTTTGGGATATAGGAGGACAGACAATAGGAGGCAAGATGTTGGATAAATGTATCTGTGGAGCACAGGGAATTCTCTTGGTATATGATATTACAAATTATCAAAGCTTTGAGAATTTGGAAGACTGGTATTCTGTGGTGAAGAAAGTGAGCGAGGAGTCAGAAACTCAGCCGCTGGTTGCGTTGGTGGGCAATAAAATTGATTTGGAGCATATGCGAACGGTAAAACTTGAAAAACACTTACGGCTTTGCCAGGAAAATGGTTTTAGTAGCCACTTTGTCTCAGCAAAGACAGGAGACTCTGTCTTCCTGTGTTTTCAGAAGGTTGCTGCTGAAATCCTTGGAATCAAGTTAAAGCAGAAATAGAACAGTCACAGAGGGTGGTGAGGGCGGATATTGTAAACTACAATCAGGAACCTATGTCAAGAACTGTTAACCCTCCTAGGAGCTCTATGTGTGCAGTTCAGTGAGCACACTCTACCTTTGCACCAGTATTCCTGGCTGCCCTTCACCCCCGCCCCCATGGCCAGGGGCCTCTAGAAAGCTGTGTTATCAGTGGCCATCTCTGTAGCATTCAGTTAACACCTTCTCCCAGCTTCCTCAGTGCACACCGCCGCCACAGCTGACGCAGCTCCTTGGCCTGAAGGATCAACTTCAACTTCGGGACAACACGCTTGGAATCCAAAATGGAAAGCCTTTTCTCTGGAATTAAACTGCTTCACTGAAAAAGAATAATTTTGGTTCTCTTTACATTCTCCCTTCTTTTTTCTTCGACGTGAACTTTTTTAGACAAATATGAAAACGATACAAGTCTTGATCAGCAGCCAGGATTTGGCACTGCACAATTTCATTCTCTTATCTGAACTACCTGGCAAAGTGCGTTTCAGAGTGCAAACACTTAAACAAGTAATATATTTTATCAACAGATACTTCAGAAGGCATTCTTTTGCTGTCTGTTGTGAGTGAAAATATATAAAGTTGTATCCAACTGAAAATGCTTGAAATAAAGCTGTAATAGATATATTTTTTTCATTTTTTTTAAAGAGGGCCTAAACTGTTTATATTGTAATTGTAACTCACAAAGTAGTGAGTATTTGCTATTGTATTTTTATTACCATGTCATGGTCATTATGTATCGTGTAATACTCAGGTTGGATGGCTTTATGAAGTTTGGTAACTGTTCAGCTGTTGCTCCACATGGACTTCCTCCTCCAAACTGCCCAAGAGCACTCCCAGAATGAGTCCCGACTGTTGTTGGATCATTGTGGATCAGACTGTACCTGATGTTCAGATGTTCTTCTTCTGCAAATAAACTTATTTCAATTAAAAAAAAAAAAAGAATAGAGAAATGGCAGAAGCGTGGTCCAGGAGTGAAGCTGAAGATTTGAGATATCACTCCAGCTCAACCACCTAAGCCATATAATCTCTCAGTGCTTCAGTTTTATTATCTATAAAATAAAGAAGCAAAATAATCCTTAAAGCCTTTTATAATTCCAGGATTCTCATGTATTTATCTGGGAATATGTGAATATCTCCATGTAAGAGTGGTAGGCCTGACCAAGTGAGAAAAGTTTATTTTAAGACAACTTGTAGATTAAATACCAATTTATAACCAAAAAGAAAGAAGGAAGTAAATCTTCATTGCACTTAATAATTATCTAGATACTGTTTTAGGGGTGTGGAGGTTCTGAAGTTTATCAACCCAATATTAGGAAAACCTTACTCATTTCTAATTTAGCCAACTCAGTTACAGTCATGGAGCTGTATTTTAATTCAGTTTCTCACATAGCATTTTCATCATGTGTTTTTGCTGAAATGTATGTTTTGTGTCTTTTTTTAATGGATCAAGAAATCATCATGCTTAACATTGAGATGAGCCCGAACAGTTCCCTGCAAGTTACTTCACCTGGTGTTACCTAGGAGAACTAAGGGTCCATTGTGGAGGCCCTTCCGTCCTTCTATGGGTTACTAGCTGGAGAGTCTCTGATCCGTCTCACGGCAGTGGAGCAGAGCAGCTGCAGCAGTGGAGTTGAGCACAAGTTTTCACTCTGGGACTCCTCCTGTGCTGTGGTGCTCTGAGTTTGGAAGGGTCACCCCCAGCCTGGGAAGATACTCTCAGTTCCTGTTTTGGACTGTGGTCCCTGGATTAGGAGTTCTTTGATGTTCTATCCAGGCTTACTAGCAGTGATTGCAACAAGGTCCTACCGAAACATGCTGATGTGTGACTCCTCTTCATGGAGCTTTGCTCATTGTGTTTACTTAGTGATTTGACAAGCACATTAAATTCCAAAAATTGTAGTCATTTCTGCTCACCAAAGGAGAGTCATTGTTTTTTAAAATTTTTGCAAATTATCTTTTATTTTTTGTGGTTCTTACTGTCCCCTCAGTTTTCTTTCATGATTTTTCCAAACTGTACAACTTTTTGGAAGGCATATCGGAAACTTTCCAATTCAGATTTTAAAGAATACTAGTTCAAGTAAACAGCACAACCTTGTATGGAATCTCAGCTGACAGCGGATAGTGTAGAAATACTTAAGAGCACTTCCACTAAAGGAGACACTAGTGTACAAGTCACCAGTTGTGTAAAGAATTACATGTGAGAACTTAAAATAGCTGGCACCATGTTAGTCTAGTCTAGTCTAAGACTAGTTAGTTGCCCTTTTGGGCTGACTACTTGAATCCAGATTGGATTATGAACCAAGTGTTGGAACCCCTATATTCTCTAAATAGGACCCATTGGATATTCACCTATGGAATAATTTGAGCATCTCAAATTATTTCTTCAGGATGAAAATGATGATTTATGGATATGTTGAGAGAAGAGAGAATATACCAAGGTTCAGGATTAATTTACTAACAGTATTTACTATGTGCCTAGCACTGTTTAGGCAACTTACATATAATCAATTAATCTTCTCAAAAACACCGTATTGAAGAAACTGAGGCATAAAAAATTTGGATAGCTTACCCAAGGTCATTCATCTAATAAGAAGAGAAAGTTGGTACCCTGAATAAAATGGGTTATGTGACTGTTTCAAAGAAAAGGTAGAATAAAGCATCCAGATGACAAGTGTGCATTTTGCCTTTCCTTGAGAATGATTCTTCCCAGGGTGTTATTTCCCTGATGTTTAAGCATTTACCAGGCCTTTAAAAGTTGGACGTTTTTTTGTGTCTTTGTGGTTACTAAAGATCCCACCCAGCCAAAAATTAGAAATAACCAAGTAACATGTTAATCTAAAAGTTATAACTCAAAAAAAAATAAAAAAATAAAAAAATAAAATAACTCCAAAAGTCCCTCCATTTAGGCCTTATTTTTTTTTCTAAAGCCCTTTATTTCCAAATCCCCATCTACAACATATCTAAATGGATAATTGACTTAAACTTTGCATTTGGAGACGGTTTGCCCATTTTTCCTCTTAGCTGGAAATAGTGGAGCAGAAAATACTGAATGTAATTTTTTTAAAATCTCAGTACAAAAACTTTTACTCCAAAGAAAGAATAGAAAGCTTATATAAATGTGACTGACTTGAAATGGAGAAAAATATGTTGTGTCCTCCATTTGTAGACATTGCTATAGAGACCTTTTTGTTGTTTTATTCTGTACTTATCTTGGACTTCCAAGTCATAGTCTTTTTTTCTCCCTAATGACAAAAATGTCTTAACTTAGTAATACTCAAGAAAGCACAAATAAAGCTGCTAGCAATATCAGAGTTTAGATTTTCATCTTAAGATGTTAGCCAGGTAATGATACGTGTGAGCCCTGTTCCTGTGATCCTGTGGTTTGATGTGTCCTACTGTATTTTTAGTGCTCACAGTTCAGTGCCAAGATTGCTGTTTTATAAAGTGGGGATAATAGTGTTTTTTTAAAGACCAGCATGGCCCTTTTTCATATTTCCTCCCTTGTGGAGATAGTAGTTGTGCAGCCTTTTGAATCAAATAAACCTGTTAGAACCTTAACTCTACTACTTACTAAGTGTAACCTTGGCAATTTAACCGTTTAATTTCTTTATTTGCAAAATGAAGGTATGGATCCAGTCTGTATTAGTCAGGATTCTCCAGAGAAACAATAGGGTATGTATATATACAAATACGTAGATTAATTATAAGGAATTGGGTCATGTGATTGTGGAGGCCAGAAGTCCCAAGATATGCATTCAGGAAGCTGGAGACCCAGGAGAGCTGATGTGTAGCTCTAATCTGACTTATGAACCAGCCAATGGGGTAAATTCCAATCTAAAAGTTAATAGTTTCCAGACCTAAGAAGAGCTGATGTTTTGGTCCCAGTCCAGAGACCAGAAAAGACCAGTGTCTCAGCTCAAGCAGTCCCCTCTTACTCAACCTCTTTTACTCTATTAAGTCTTTAATTGATTGGATGAGTCCCACCCACACTAGGGAGGGCAATCTAGTTTATCCTCTCTAGTGAGTCAAATGCTAATCTTATCCAGAAATACTCTCACAGATTCAAAAGTTTGTGAACCCTGTGGCCCAGTCAAATTGACACATAAGATTAATGATCAAAAGTTCATGTCAATTTAACACCCATACATATTTAATCTCCAAATAAAGACAATAACAAGATCACAATTCGACCTAATGTGATACAAGTATCCAATATACAACCACACACACAAAAAGAAGAGCTAAAGTCCTTGAGTGATGTTCAGAAGGTGTTAAAAATCGTGCCTGAAAAAGTGAAAGTACTTAATCAATGTTCATTTTTTTCCTTTAATGTATTTGCCAGTATCCAGCCAACGTTCCTATTTCAAAGCAAATGTGTTTAAGTAGGGGATTTCTAAGGAGGTTGAGGAGGAGCGTTTATGATACGTTTTCAAACTTTTAGAGTGGTAATGTTAAGCTAAAAGGGAATTTCTTTTCTTTCTTTCTTTCTTTCTTTCTTTCTTTCTTTCTTTCTTTCTTTCTTTTCTTTCTTTCTTTCTTTTTTTGAGCAATATCATTTTAGATTGCTGCTCAATAACCAGCGTTCCCACAGCCGACCTCAGAAAACCTTGTAATTGGTGAAGTAGCTCTGAACCCTGGGTAGAAGAGGCCTAGCTCCAGGATTGAAACTTCCAAATTATAGTGCACTAGAGTTTTTTTAATACCTAATGCCTAAATTGAAAACATTTTTTGGGGATCCCTGGGTGGCGCAGCGGTTTGGCGCCTGCCTTTGGCCCAGGGCGCGATCCTGGAGACCCAGGATCGAATCCCACGTCGGGCTCCCAGTGCATGGAGCCTGCTTCTCTCTCTGCCTCTCTCTCTCTCTCTCTGTGTGTGTTACTATCATAAAAAAAAAAAAAAATTAAAAAAAAAACATTTTTCGGTGCTTGCAGCTCTTTTATATACTAGGAACAGAGTGGGATATTGGAAGAATGTTCCAAAATAGCTTCTTTTAACCTGGAAAAATATATTCAGTTTCTAAATTTCAGGTTAGTATGCTGTTAGATAAGCAGCATGGAAAATAAGATTTTTCCTAACTTTTTTTATTTAAGGGTCGAGTGGTGGAAAATATCTCAAAGCGATGTGGTGGATTCCTGAGGAAGCTCAGCTTGCGAGGCTGCATTGGTGTTGGAGATTCCTCCTTGAAGTAAGTTGAATCCACAGTGACTCACTTTGTCATAGCAGCTTTGTAGCTGACTTGTCATCAGCAAAAATAAACCAAGATATTACGTGCTTTTCTTCTGTTAAATTCTCTCTATTGTAATTTACATAGAGAAGTGACAGAACCATGACTTGGGAGTCAGTAGGCCTGGGTTAGGGATACAACTTTAGGACAAATTATTTCACCTCTCCCAAGTGTCAGCTCTCTTCTACAAAGTGAAGGCAGCTATAGTTCCTGCATGAAACAACACATATGAAGTGCCTGGTGCATAATAATGGTTTACTCCTCTGTTTCCTTCTCCACTTTCTGATCTTCCTAGTTTCATTCTCATAAGAGTGACTGTCTTTTTATATATTATATGACTTAACAAAATAATTCTTCCAAAAACTTCCTTAGCACACCTGGAATTTTGCTTACTCATACTGGTATGAAATTATCCACTTGTATCCTATCCAAACAAATGCTTGCCCACCTCTTACTGGATAGCCATTATTTATTGGAAATGTTATCAATACACTGCTAAGGATATATGCTTTTCTAGAGACAAGACATAATTAAAACATTTATATTCTCATCCTTGTGGCCTCTACTATTTCTTGAGGTTGTCTAAATTAGAACACACAGTGCCCTCCTAGAACCCTGGGACAGACTTTGTCTCTTGCAGACCTAAGCATCACCACTGTGTATATCAATTGCAACTGCCAGTAGAAATGTGCAATACATAGTGATTACAGATAGTGGAATTTGTAATTGAAACATCTGCTATACCATTGCCAAGAAAATTGATTCATAACATATTTTAAGGATCAAAACACTCCTTATAAATGTTATGGAACAAAGTTTTTTTTTTTAATCAAGAAATTCAGATCATCAGACTAAATTTTATGCTACTTCAAAAGCTTTGTAAACTGATGAAATAGATTGATTCTATTTTAATAAAAAAGCTTAAATGATCCTAAGATAACTTATAAAAGAGAACATAAGTTTAATAGTGGTTCCATTAAAAAAATAGTGATTCCATTAAAAACTAAAAAACTAAAATAAATGTGAAGATATGGATTGTCAATGAGGAATATCAAAGAAATATATTCTTATCTTGGCAATTAGAATAAAGCCATATGTACTAGCAAAACTATCCTGAGGCTAAGAATGTTAGTGGTTTACTGTAATTTTTATTGTAGAAATCTATGTTAATATCTTACATACTTTTTTTAGAGAATGCATGCATGTGAGAAAGCAGGGGAGGAGCGGGGAGGAGGGAGAGAAAGAATCTTCAGCAGACTCCACCCTCAGCCCTGTGGAGTCTGATGTGGGGCTCAGTCTCAGAACCCTGAGATCATGACCTGAGCCAAAATCAGAAGACATACACTAAACGACTGAGCCACCCAGGTGCCTCATTATCTTATACATTTTTAAAATGTGAGATCAGATTACTGTGAGAAATAATGATAAGCATAATTCTAGTATATGACTCAGAAGGAATTTTGTTATCCTTCCAGTTGTTTATTGTAATCACCTAAAGCCAGCCTCTACTCTGCCCCACTTGTATATTGTTGTTTTGGTTAGAGGGAGGCTATTCATTTGCAAATATTTATTGAGCCCTACTACACCAGGTACTGATCTAGGGAATGGAGATACAGTAGTAATCAAAATAGATTAAAATCCCAGTACTAGGGGCACCTGGGTGGTGCAGTGGTTGAGCGGCTGCCTTTGGCTCAGGTCGTGATCCCAGGGCCCTGAGATCGAGTTCCCCATCAGGTTCTCTGTAGGGAGCCTACTTCTCCCTCCGCCTATGTCTCTGCCTCTCTTTGTGTGTCTCTCATGAATAAAGAAATAAAATCTTTTTTTTAATTATTTATTTATTTATGATAGTCACACAGAGAGAGAGAGAGGCAGAGACATAGGCAGAGGGAGAAGCAGGCTCCATGCACCGGGAGCCCGACGTGGGATTCGATCCCGGGTCTCCAGGATCGCGCCCTGGGCCAAAGGCAGGCGCTAAACTGCTGCGCCACCCAGGGATCCCCAAGAAATAAAATCTTAAAAAAAAAAAAATCCCAGTACTAATGGATCTTACATGTATATTCTTCGTAACTCTTGCTGTATCATTATATATGAAGTCCTATGGATTGTTAACAGCTTTATTGAGAGCTAATTGAGATACAATAAACTATGCATTTAAAGTGTACAATCTGATAATCAAGATAATGAACTTAGACCTGTAAAAGCTTCCTCATGTTCCTTTATAATCCCTTCTTCCTACCCTGTTCCTGCCCCATTGCTAGGCAACCATTGATCTCGTTCTGTCATTATTGGTTAGTTTAAATTTTTAAAAACCTATATATAATTATGCACACACACACACACACACACACACTGTACTCCTTTTTGCCTGGCCTCTTCACTTGTATAATTATTTTGAGATCCATCCATGTTGTTGTTGTGTATCAATAGTTCATTCTTTTTTTTTCTTAAGATTTTATTTATGCATGAGAGATAGAAAGAGAGGCAGAGCGAGAAGCAGGTTCCATGCCAGAGCCCGATGTGGGACTCGATCTCGGGACCCCGGGACCATGACCTGAACCAAAGGCAGACGGACGCTCAACCACTGAGCTACTGAGGCGTCCCCTAGTTCATTCTTTTTTATTGCTGAATCCATTTTATGGTTATACTACAAAATTATTCATTTCTCCTTTGGATTCTTGCCAGTTTGCAGCCACTAAATATAAAAGTGCTATGAACATTTGTGTACAAGATTTTGCATGTCATACGTTTTCATTTCTCTTGGGCAAATACCTAGGAGTGGAATGGTTAGGTGTGTGTTTAATTTTTTTAATTTTTCAAGCTTTTACCCAAAAGGATTATATCACTATATATTCCCACCAGAATTTTATGGTACTTCTAGTTCTTCCACATCCTTGTCAACACTTGGTAGGTCAGTCTTTTTTATTTTAGCTTTTCTAATAGATACGTGTAGGAGTATCTCATTGGGGTTTTAATTTGTGTTTCTAATGATTAATGCTGTTGAGTATCTTTTTATGTACTTTTGCTATCCACATATTTTCTTTGCTGAAATGTCTGTTCAATTGTGGGGGAGTTGCCTGTTTTATTTATTAGATTGGTTTTTATCTTACCATTGAATTTTGAGAGTGAGATTCTGCATACAGGTCCTTGATCAGACTTATGTTTTGTAAATGTTTTCTTGCAGTCTGTGGCTCATCCTTTTATTCTCTTAACTGTCTTTTGAAGAGAAGTTTTTCATTTTAATGAAGTGCTTTTGGTGATGTGTGAGATCATGCTTTTGGTGATGTGTGAGATCTTTGACTAACATAGAGTCATAATGATTTTCTCCTGTGTTTCTAGAAGTTTTGTAGTTTATATTTATGATCCATTTTGAGTTGATTTTTATATATGGTATGAGGTATAGATTGAAATTCATTTTTTTGCATATGATGTATGATTGTTCTAGCACTGTATGTTGAAATAAGCACTGTTTCTCCACTGAATTGCTTTTGCATCTTTGATGAAAATCAGTTGTCCAAATAATTGTGGAACTGTTTTTGTACTCTCTATATTTTTCATTGCTCTATTTGTCTGTCTTTATACCTAACCACATTGTCTTGATTAAGTGCAGCTTTATAAATTTTGAAATCAACTAGTATAAGTCCTCCAACTTCATTCTTCTTTCCAAAGTTGTTATGGCTATTCTAGATCCATTGCATTTCTTTTTTAAAAATTTTTTAAAAGATTTTATTTATTTATTTAACAGAGCAAGAGAGCACAGCAGGGGGAGCAGCAGAGGGAGAGGGAGAAGCAGGCTTCCCGCTGAGCAGGGAACCCTCATGCAGGGCTCCATCTCAGAGTCCTGGGATTGTGACCTGAGCTGAAGGCAGAAGCTTTAACCAGTTGAGCCACCCAGGCACCCCAGGCATTTTCAGATAAATTATAGAATCAGCTTGTCAGTTTCTACAAAAATCTTGCTAGGATCTTGATTTAGGATGATATTGAATCCATAGATCAATTTAGGGAGAATTGACAACAATATCAAGTCTTCCAACTCATGAACATAGTATATCTCTCCATATATTTCGATGTGTTAAAATTTCTCTCAGTATATTTTACAGTTATCAGTAGTATAATTGTGCACCTCTTTTGTCATATTTATCCCTAAATGTTATGAAATGTTATTATAAGTGATATTTTTTATTTCAATTTTTGATTGTTCATTGTTAGTAAACAAATACTATTGATTTTTGTACATTGATCTTTTATTCTCCAACCTTGATAGTCTTGGTTTTAGTAGCTTTTTTTTATTACTTTGGATTTTCAGCATAATCATGTCACCTATAAGTAAAAATAGCTTTTCTTCTTTCTTTTCAATTAGTGCCTTTTCTTATTCTTAACTTATTGCACTGACTAGAATCTCTACTACAGTGTTGAATAGAAATGGTTAAATAGAAATGGTGAATAGACATCCTAGCCAGTTCTTAGGCTTAAGGGGAAAGCATCCAAATATGATGTTAGCTATAGATTTTTGTTGTTGTTGATAAGCATCAAATTGGGGAAATTTTCTTGTATTTCTAGTTTGTGGAGGGTTGTTTGTTTTTTTAATTGAGAATGAGTGTTAGATATGTTAGATATTGTCAAAGGCTTTTTTTTTTTAAAGATCTTATTTATTTATTCATGAGAGACAGAAAGGCAGAGACATAGAAAGAAGAAGAAACAGGTTCCTTCAGGGAGCCTGATGCAGGACTTGATTCCTGGACCCAGGATCATGCCCTGAGCCAAAGGTGGAAGCTCAACTGCTGAGCCACCCAGGAGTCCTTGTCAATGCTTTTCCTGCATCTTTTCTTTTGGATGATTGTATGTTGTTGTTGTTGTTTTTAATTTAGATAGCATGCTGAATTACACTGGTTGATTTTTGAATGTTAAACCTGCCTTCTATCCCTTGGATAAACACAAGTTTATTGGATTTATAGGTTTATAGCTTTCATAAACTTTGGAAAAATTTTGGCCATTACTTCTTCAGATATCCTACCCCACCCCTGCCCAATCTCCTGTTCCTTGAGAACTCCCACTTGTATATTTGATTACTTGAAGCTATCCCACAGCTCATGTTCTGTTCTTTTTTTTTTCCCCTTCATTTTCTTTCCATGTTTCGTTTTGGATAGTTTCTATTGCCATGTCTTCAAATTCTCCAGTCTTTTCTACCATAATGTCTAATCTTCTATGACTCCCATCCAGAAAATATTTATTTTAGCCATTTTCTGAAAGTTTAATTTGGGTCTCTAAAAATAGCCCTGATGCCTCTACATAACACATTTAGTAAACATAATGTTTAATCTTTATGTAGCTCCATAGAACTATATTCTATAGAACATAGTTATAATAACATATAATATCTTTGTCTACTATTTCTAATATATGTATCAGTTTTGGGTCAACTTTGATTTTTCTTAGGCAATCAAGAAGGAGAAAAAAGAAAAAGAAGGATGTATTTTCCTTCTTTGAATGCATGCCAGTTTTTTTGCTCAGTGCCAGACATTGTGAATTTTATTTTGAGTGTAGAATATTTTTGTATTCCTATAAATATTCTTGAATTTTATTCTGGACATTGTTATTTGGACATACTTCCTTTAAGATCTTTTTTCTTTTTTTAAGTTGTTAAGTTGGACCAAAGGCATGTTTAGTTGAGGACTAATTGTACACCTGTATACTTTTCAGTGCTCTACCCAGTGCCCCACAAATTAAGACATTTTTCACTATTGGCTTATGGGAATTGACACTTTTGGCTCTGGGTGAGCTCTGGCTGTTGTTCCTTCTGTGCTTTTTGATGATTCTTTCCCTGGCTTTGGATAGTTACCCAGGATGCATACTCTGATTAGTACTCTACTGAATTCTTGAGGGGAACCCTCTGAATTTCTCTGTGCCCCAATACTCTTCTCTGATAATTCTAATCACCTTGGTCAGATTTTGGCTCCATATCTTCAACTCAGGGATTCCACAAGGCTCCAGGTTAGTTCCATAGCACCAAACCAGAGCTCAAGGAGCAGATAAGAGTGACATCTGGTTTGAAGCCAGGTTTTGGAGACATTTGGGTACTGCATGGAAGAATCAGAGGACTCAACACTATAAATACATTGAAACAGTATTTCAGGAAAATGTGGATGACTTGCCAGTCCTTATTGAATATGTTAAGGAATAAGTAGTGAATAAGAGATATTTAATTTTCCACTTTTGACCTTTCTACCACCCACAAATCATTGAGGAAGTTGCTTTTCATGACTCAGTATCCTCACCAGTAAGTGGATGATTCTTCATACCAATCAACTACTGATCCTGTCAATGGCCAAAGATAATTTCTTCAGGAAGACTCTTGAATAACCAAATGACAGCTTGGCACAGTATAAAAAAGATTCAATCCCTTTGCTTCCAACTGATTTTTCTATAGAGAAGAAAGAACAAGGAGCCATGCCTCCATTCTCAGATGTTCACCAAGGTGTGGGTTGAAGGAGAATTATGACTGATATGTAGTCAGTCTTGGGCTTTGCTTCTCAAAGTATAGTTCCCAAAGGAGCAGCACTGGCATCACTTGGGAATTTCTTAGAAATGAGACCATCAGTTTGTCAGGGTATACCATTAGAATCTGCACTGTGACAAAAACCCCAGCTGTTTCATGTCACATTAAAATTTGAGGAGCACCAGTACCTTAGTCAACAATAACATATTGTACATTTAAATTTGTTGGGAGTGAATCTCATGTTAAGTCTTCTTTCCAAAGTAAAATAAAATTTAAAAGTTTGAGCTCTGTTCTCAATGTGAATGGTGACACATGCCCTCTAGCGGCTGACTGCGAGTTTTTAAACGTTTTTTCTTTTTAGGACCTTTGCACAGAACTGCCGAAACATTGAACATTTAAACCTCAATGGGTGCACCAAAATCACTGACAGGTAAGGAATGAGAATTAGTTTGGTAACTAATTGGCCACAGGAAGAGTGAGGGGAGAGAAACATGGTTGAAAATACCTTTAGTGTGTCTGCTCTTTTCCAGCACGTGTTATAGCCTTAGCAGATTCTGTTCCAAGCTGAAACATCTAGATCTGACCTCCTGTGTGTCCATTACAAACAGCTCCTTAAAGGGGATCAGGTAAGAGTACCTGTTGTCAGATGAAACTCTTAAACCTATGAGTATCCTGGTGTGTCTAAAAACCTTTCTAATGATCCCATTGGAATAAGAAATAGGTGACTCAGGTCACAGAGGTTTTTCTCTCCCCTTAATTTTTTTTTGATTTACCAAACTCAAACTTGGTAATACACTACCTGTAGGATAGATTGCACATGTATGGTCTTGTTTCTTATTTTTTCAGTGAGGGCTGCCGAAACCTGGAGTACCTGAATCTCTCTTGGTGTGACCAAATCACAAAGGATGGCATTGAGGCACTGGTGCGAGGTTGTCGAGGCCTAAAAGCTCTACTCCTAAGGGGCTGCACACAGGTACCGAGGGGTCTATTGAGGTGTGTTTATCTAACAGGAGGTGTGGGCACTTCATTAGAGAACTTGCTGTTGCCTTTTTTTTTGGTTCTTCACTATTCCCTCACCTGGTTCCATCCCTCTCTGTCCACTCAGTTAGAAGATGAAGCTCTGAAACACATTCAGAATTACTGCCATGAACTTGTGAGCCTCAACTTACAGTCCTGCTCAGTAAGTAACGTGCTTTATCTGGGAGCATCCTCCTGTCCCAAGCTCCCTGAGTCTGCTGTAGGCCCACTTTGAAGTACCCAGGCAGGTGGGATGGTCGCCACACCCTTTTTTTTCTTATTCTGTGTCCTCATATGATATGTTAGTTTGCCACAAGATGAAAGAATAACAGTCTAAACAAAATGGCCAATACAAAGCCACTAACATTTTCCTCTAAAAATAATATAGATTGACATTGCGATTTATTTTAAGATATCAGGAATGCTGTGAACTAGTCAGTAACCTGAACAAATTCATGGTAAGTTCTTAATGTCTTTTTTTTTTTAACTTATAAACTGGGGATAATGACACCTCTCATATCTCAGTGGATAAAATGAAATGATAGATGTGAAAATGCTTTGAAAAATAAAGCAAGAGCAAGATGCAATTTTCATTTTGGCATTAGCATGTGAAAAACACTTGTTCCATCCTCACGGCCATTGTCAGTGTTGATTCTTGAAGAGCGCTTACTACATTCTCCTGGGTTTCTCAAGGGGAGCATAAATTTTGAGAAATATAAAAGAAATTCCTTGCAGTTGGTATTCAGTAAATGAATCATTTAAGTCTTTAGAATCCTTGATGGTGGGAGATAGAACAGAAACTGTCTTCTGGACAAATAATGACTTTATGGGCACTGTGCAATATTAGGATCTTGCATTACATGTAGGAGGGAACTGGCAGATGGCTTAAAGTAGAATATAAGTGTGCAAGCCAGGGATGTCTGGGCAGCTCAGTCAGTTAAGCATCCAACTCCTTGTTTTGGCTCAGGTTGTGATGTCATGGGTCGTGATCTCACAGGTTGTAAGATTGGGCCTTCTGCAGGTCTGCTTTAAGATTCTCCCCCTCTAACCCTCCTTCCTCACACTCTCTCTGTCTTAAAAATGGATAAATAAATCTTAAAAAAAAATAAATATGCAAGTTATTTATCAATAATTTAGTGATTTATTTCATATGCTATTTTCTAAAACATTTGAGGAAATATTTATAAATATATACATATGTGGTTTATATGGTAGATATTTAAAACATTAATCTGTAGAAATTCAACCAAAAATTATTATATTACTTAACTAGGCAAATCTTTTTTTGTTTGTTTTGTTTTGTTTCTTAACTTTTTTTTTTTTAACTAGGCAAATCTTATGAGCTCTTTATTTAATCTGGTCTTTAACATAAGTTTATGAATTCTTCCTGAAAAAAAAAATCAAATGAATGCTGGAGAGGGGAATAAATTTCATTCTTGGGAGGCACCTGGGTTGCTCAGTTGATTGAGCATCTGACTCTTGATTTCAGTTTAGGTCATGATCTTGGGCTCTTGAGATTGAATCCCATGTTCAGCTCCACATTCAGTAGAGAGTCTGCTTGAAGATTCTCTTTCACCCTTCCCTTTGCCTGTCCCCCTGCTTGCGCACACACACACTCTCTCTAAAATAAAGAAATCTTTTTTAAAAATGTCATTCTCTATTGGTAATGCTAGAATATTTTAAAGCTGTACAGAGGTAACAAATACATGTCAGCTCTGTACTTCATTTTGTTTTATTTAAACTGTTAGGATAAAAAGCTAGTATTTGGCAACTTTACAGATCAGCAGTAGATTCCATTTTTCTGCTGCTCTCATTTCAGTATTTTTGGTGCCTTCTGATGTTCTTTCCTATTTTGGCTTTCCCTAGCGCATTACAGATGAAGGTGTGGTGCAGATATGCAGGGGCTGCCATCGGCTTCAGGCCCTCTGCCTTTCTGGCTGCAGTAACCTCACAGACGCCTCTCTCACAGCCCTGGCTTTGAACTGCCCGAGACTTCAGTGAGTGCACCATGCTTTTGCTTTGTAGCTCAGAGCTTGGCAGGACTGACCAGGAAGTCTTCCTGCAGGAAGGGAAAGGTTTGCCAGCAGGTGGATAGGTAGTGATGGAGGTGGCAGTGGGATTGTGTTATTGCTGGCTTTTGCTAGATGGATTGGGGTGGAACAATATGTAATCCAGGTTATTTAGGGGTATACAGGAGGGTACCAAACTGTCCACCATCAGGGAACCTGAACTGTAATTTCTTGGTGGACTTTACACATGTGCCCACTTGATTTGCCTCATCCTGTTATAACTTTGACATCAGAGTGATCTGATAGTGTCAGAATGACCACCTTACATCCAAATGTCACCAGATTCTCCCCTACACCAGATGCTAAATGGACAGAAGGGGGGAGGGAATCACAGTAACCTTATTTATCACCTTCCCCAGGAGAAAGAAGTTCTGTTGTAACAAATAAATATTGATTTTCTCCAGTAATATTATGAATATTAAAACTTTAATAATGGCAACAAAGTAATAATCATAATTAACATCATTTATATTCCAGGCTCTGTGTTGGGCACTTTTATAAGCATTATCTCAGTTAATCCTTACCACATCTATAGAAAATATGCACTATTATTCTCACTTGTTTTGCAGAGGAGAGATTGGGACTCAAAGAAAATCACATAATGTATCTTGGGCCATATGATGAGTAGGAAGTAAAAGTAGTGTTTGAACTTGAGACTTAACCCCTGTACAAGAGGCTAAAAAAAGATACTTATTTAAAAAAAAGATACTTATTTTGTTGTTTACTCATCAGTGAAACTGATCCGTTTCTCATGCTTACACCAGTTTTATATCTTTTAAGGATTGTCTATTGGTGTCTTTTGCCCATTTTTCTTACTATTGCATTAGGGACAATTCTAGGCAATTTTGATATTTCTGAATTGTAGAAGGAATATGGGTGATCAAAACTGGTCAGAAATGTGGTTAAAATTACTGCTACAAGGGCATACTTAATTTTAAAATGTTATTTATTACTCCATCCCCATTAAGCATGGGCATTGAGAATTAACTCATGTTTTTCACTTGCAAATTTTTAAAATTTCTATTAGGGTAACTGGGAATTTCACTAAACTATCTTTATATATCAAGATAACTTTGTTGAGTAAAAGTTCATTTTAATTGTGTTTAAAAAACAAATATTGGAGTAATATTTAAAAGCAATAGCAGCAGCAAAGTCCTGATATTATGGTAAAATTCCTGGGTTCACTACCTGAATTTGAGCTGGAACCTTGGGACTTAAGGCAGGCCACATTTCTCCCTAAGCCTGCTTCCCCTCATCTATCCAGTGGGACAGCATTTGCATTTACAGTCCTCAGGGCTGTTCCAGAAGCAAACATGTGTCAGAGAGCAGAATAAACTCAATTGTGTGCATCTTAAAATATGTGTTTCTATTGTTAATCAGTCACTACCTTTTCCTCCCATGCACCCTATATCCCAGGATTTTGGAGGCTGCCCGATGTTCCCATTTGACTGATGCAGGCTTTACACTTTTAGCTCGGGTAAGCCAGAGGTTTCAAAAAACAGAACCAAACTATAATTTACCTCCCCCATTTCAAAATAACTTGCTGTGGTTTGGAATGTGCAAAAATGTGTGTACCTTCAGAAAGGACAGGTATGAAGTAGATTGCTCAGGGTACATTTTCCCATTTTCCCCAAAAAGGGAAAGTGGTCCTCTAGTGGGTTCTGGAGCAGGTCTAGAGCACTCTCACTTGGTCAGGTGGGACCACAATGAGAGGAACTTCTTCCCTGGCAGGACATGTCCTTTCTCATACAAACCCTGATGCAGCCAGTCAGTAGCTTCCCCTAACTGAATTGTGCTGTGCCTCTGCTCCTTCCACATCACCCTTTAGACACTAACCATCATGGGGGTCTCTCTGGCCTGTTGCTGGGAACCCATGGGGATGGTGATATACTCTTCCTCCTACCCTAACCCTCACCTGTCCACACTGTGCTTGAGCACTCTACCCCATGCCTTCCCAAGCCTATTCTATGGCTAAATTTAGAGGATGATACCCATGAGCCACTGGGAAGGTGGAAGGCCCTACCTTTCCAGGTGAGAAAAGGAAATGAAGCCCAGGGTGGCCACATTCCCGTTTTCAAAGTGAATATGATTCAAAAGGCACCTTCTCAGAAGTGCTGGCTCACTGGGTCACACTCCTTAATGGAAGAGAACAAGGATTCGGGGCCAGTACTCAGGGCAAGCCACCAGTGTTGCCCTGACCACTGACCACATGGTGGGGGATGTCTTACGGACTTTTCCAGAATTGCCATGACCTGGAGAAGATGGATCTTGAAGAATGCATCCTGGTAAGTACCCATCTGACAAGCCCTGCAGGGCTGCCCCTCAGTCCTGAGAGACAAACAGACACAGCCAGAGACCCCAGCTGGCTGTTGTCTGAACCCTCCTCACCCCAGTGTGTGGGTTAGGAATTGGGAACCCATGAGGGCCATGGCAGTGGGATGCATGAACTTTGGGCTATTCTTAGCCACCAGAGCTACAGTCGAGAAGTCAGGGTGGCTCCATTTTTTGCCAAACATTAAAAAAATATGTATTTCACAGAATTGAAGGGAGAAATAGGTTTGCAAGTACAGTGATGAGGTGACTACAGAGTAGAATCCTGGGGGACTCCCTCTTTGTCCTCTGTCCTTGGGCCACCAGAGGAGAGACTAAAGCACAGCTTTGTGTCTATAGAAATTGAAATTGTTGGTGAAGAGAGGAGGTCCCAGCCTGAGTGTACTTGAGATGAGTTTTTATTCTGTTTTACACCTTTTGATTCTCATGTTCAGGAGAAACCAAAATTAGGTATTAAGTTCTGGTGTGGAAGCCACACTGACACAGCATGTTTCTCTCCAGATAACCGACAGCACACTCATCCAGCTCTCCGTTCACTGTCCTAAACTGCAAGCCTTGGTGAGTCTGAGTTTTTGGTGACATTATTCACCTTTTAGAGATGAAAGAACTCTCCCACCACAGCAAGAATCTGTTTGGTTTTCCTTTCTGTAAAGGTATCATCATTCTTGGTTTCAAAGGTCTGCTAGTTGGGCTAATTTGGGAGGTAGATTATCTAAATGTTACTGCTTTCATTTTAGGATGTGAACCTGTCGTAGAAACCCATGTCCTTACCACTCCATTCATGTTCATTATCTCAGGGAGAGTGAAACTTAGCATGTTACAATGATAAAATCGAGACAAAAGATTGAGGCCATCCTTATGTCATATTTCATTCCATACCTGCTTATATCTATGGGGGAAGAAGAATTAAAATATATTAAAAGATCCTGGGGTGCCTGGGTGGCTCAGTGGGTTAAGCATCTGCTCAGTTCATGACCCAGGGTCCTGAGATCGAGACCTACATTAGGCTCCCTGCTCAGTGTGGAGCCTGGAGGAAGGATGGAATCCCCATCCTCTGGGCAAGTCCACATGAACTGTGCTACTATGCCCACTAGATACATTGTCTCATTTTATTCCATCCACAGCCCTGTGATGTACGACTCTGGACATCTCCATTTTATCAGTGAAGACCCCTTGGCTCAGAGCAATTAAACTTGCCCAAAGTCACACAACTGTTTGGAGGCCCCAGATTTTTTGGCCTCCATGGGCTCTGGTCTTTCTGCTGCCCTGAGACACACAACAGACTTTTTCTTAAGCTGGCTTTCTCTGTTGTCTTCAGTCTTGCTCTCTCTGTGGGAGCCAGAATTTTATAACACCATTAAAGCCCCATTTGGCTTTGAGGTACTGACCCACCAATTTTCCTAATTTGTACATTTCCTCTGGATACTTTCTGTCTTAGGCACAAGTACAACTGGGCCCTGGACAGCTCTGGAACTTTTTTTTGTTAAGAGTTTGGAGTCAGATTTCAGAGATTAGTCAGGAACCTACCTGTATCCAAACTCTCTGACGAGGGGCACCTGGGTGTTTCCTTGGTTGAGCATTGGACAGTTTGTTTTCGCTGAGGTCATGGTCTCATGGGTTGTGGGATCAAGCCCTGAGGTGGTCTCCACACTCAGCAGGGAGTCTGTTTGGGGTTTCTATTCCTCTGCCCCTCCCCACAACTTGCATATGTGCGTGCTGGCTCTTTCTTCAATAAATAAATAAATAAATAAACAAACAAACAAACAAACAAATAAATAAATAAATAAATAAATCTTTAAAAAAAAAGAAGAAAAGACTTGTTTTAAAAAATAAATCTTCAAACTCTCTGACTAAATTGTTTCCCTCTACTATTTTGTAGTGCTGTCTTTACTCCCAAATTAGTTCAGATACGGTTTTATAATTGACAGAACCTGTACTGAAGATACTCTCCCTTTATCCTCACCACCCTTTGCCCCTTGACCCCCAACCTTTCAGAGATGGGAAATTTAGGAGCCCTGGTACTTTATTATTCCCTTTAACCCCTCCTCTCTGCTGCTCAAAGGTTCTCTCTGCCCTACCCTGAGATAACCTAGACTCACACTCCCAGCTCTTCATCAGCATTTACAAGAAATTTTGAATCTGGATAGAGGGGCCCCAGGAGGAGTTGCACTGAGCCAGCAGGGCCTCCCACTAACTCTCTGCCTCCTGCCCTGCTGCTATCTCCTCAGTAGTGCAGGCTCCACTGGTAACTTGTCAGGGAAAGTCTAACAATATAGGGTGTTTTCCCCAGTAGGGATACTGGTGACTGAAAATCTTCTCCATCATGTCCCTTGTACTTATACAAGCTACTTCTAGAAACAGGACTTAGAATGAAAGATAAGTATAATAAAGCCAAAATGCCAAGATAGGAGCCCAAAATAAAAACCAGAAAGAATTATTAGCAGAAAAAAACAGGGAAACAATGACAGTTGGAATCTAAACTTAGCTTTGAAGATGTCTAAGAGCCAAGACAAAAAGGAAATGACCCAGATTACATCTATTCCACACCCATGTCATTACTATCACCTCCAGACTCTCACAAGCCAGCCACTATTCTCGGCACTGGGGAATAAAAAGACAGTTCAACAGGAGAGACCAACTTTATCCTCATTCTGAAATTTCAGAGAAGTGGTCTGGATCCTTGTTTCAGGGGTACTGTACTCCAGGAGCACTAGGCACTCTGATGATGGACAGTAATAGCAATGCCTCTCAACCCTCAGGTCAAGCTGAGGGCAGGTTAGAGTGCAGGTTTTGTTGTAAGTACATGTCTACTGCAGCAGTTCTGACAGAGCAGATGTGCAGTAGTTTGCATATTGATGGCAGCTCTTGAAGGATGTAGGATGGCAGGCCATGAGTGTGTCAGGTGATGCCTGCACATCTCTCCTCTATAGGCCTTATGCTGAGTCAGGTGGCAGCCCAGGAGCAGCCCATTCCCCATCACAAGGCAGCTCACCTTATTATGGGAGGCTCAGAGAGTATTGCCTGTGACAGAACCACAAACAGGCTACTCTGGGGTCCCCAGCAGGGACTCCTACCCCAGCCTACAGAGATCAGAAGAGGCAACTATAGTTAGGGGAAGGACTCTGTAGATTCAGAATTGCGAAGTATGGCTTTTATGTTTTACTAGAGATCTGCAAGCATATAGGAATGAGGGAAGTGACCACCAGGCCAAAGCCAGGTGATCACTGCACCTCAGTTCCCAACACTGCAGTTTCCAAGGTTGTCCTTCAGACAAGAGGCAATTGTGTGCACACACTGCCCTGTCTAGGAGTCACTCGGTGATCCCCAAGGGAAGTGAGGCCTTGTACACACACTTAAACAAAATGCAGATGGCTATTTGAAAAGGAAAACTAATCATGTTTATTTGAAAAGTCATTAGATATTTTCAAACAAGGGGAATTCCAGATTCAAAAGAACACAGAGTAGGACCTGGAAGGATCTATAGCATCATGAAATTTGATCAGAGGAGGTTAAGGATCCTTTCTCATACACCAGTTTTAACTTGTAGGATGTGTCATCAGCAAGTTCTGTTGATTTTGAAACTTGCTTTGTTTTCTGATTTCCTTTTCAATATCAGAGACAGTTTTGGGGAGCTTTTAAAAATCTTATTATGCAACTCATTTGTCCTAGAAGCTATCCAAGAAGAATTTTAGGAATTTATTATATTAAAGAATAAGGAATATAGCCAAAAAGGAAATCCCCATTACTGTCTTCATTGCTATAGAGTTTTATCTTTCATCCTGATTTATCAAAGCTCAGTGATGTTGCATAGGAGGCCAAGGCCATCAGGTGTCTAGTGAGTCACTGTCCTTTCAGAATGACAAGTATACAAGTTACTCAACTGGTGGAAAGCTGCTCTTGATGATATGAAACAATCTTGTTATCAAACCACTACTCAACTGGGACACAAGAGGGAAAATAGGGGTAACAAGACTTGGTAACATTTAGATGACTATTTCATCCATTTTAAAATGAGACATTGAACACTTTGGAAAATAACGTGAAATAGAATGTGTGTTGTTTATGTCTCAGTGTCACACCCCACGGTCTGAGCAGCATATCTTGTCTTTCCCGGTCACTCTTTGTGTCACCCAGCTGCAACCAAAATTGAATCTAATTGGGTCCCTTTAAACCTACCATCTTATCATTGTCAATTCCCATTTGATGTCCCTTTCTCCTCCTCACTCAGCCTAAATTGTGTGGTCAATTATTTTTTTTTAAGATTGATTGATTGATTTATGATAGACAGAGAGAGAGAGAGAGAGAGGCAGAGACACAGGAGGAGGGAGAAGCAGGCTCCATGCCGGGAGCCCAACATGGGACTCGATCCCGGGACTCCAGGATCGCGCCCTGGGCCAAAGGCAGGCACCAAACCACTGAACCACCCAGGGATCCCCAAGATTCACCTTCTTCACTTAGCTGTCATTCTGTTTAACTCTCAGCTGCTGAGCCAGTCTTGAAGTGGTAGCAAGAGTACAGTAGAGAAGGGCTTACAAGCCTTTTTTATGGAGAAAACAGCACATATTCTTAGATTGACAGAAGCCATGTCTGGGTTTCAGAGTGAGGAAGGAGAGGAGATGAGGCTGAATGGGAAGCAGGACCAGAGCGTCATGGCCCCCACTAAAGAGGGTAGACCTATTCCAATCAACTGTCTCTGTGAGGCTTACCAGGCTGACAGTGAGAAGCTGAGATAGGGGCTCACAGTCTGAAGGCCAATGTTCTGTGGCATACCTAAAAGTAACCTGGCCCATATTTTGCTCCCAAACTGGAGACCCTGGTTTATTCATTTCTTCTAATTGTCTCAAGTTAGAATGTTGAGATTCACCAAACTCATTAGACCATTCCTAAAACTTTATAAGTAGAACAACTCCATGCACACATGGAAACCCACAAATCCTGAACAAGGTGTTGGGACTTAAACCTCATATCCAGTTCAGAGTAGCCTCCTATGGCTCAGACTTTTCTTATCCTCACTAACATCTTATCCTCTGATTTGAGTGCATACAAATTTATAATTACTGTATCTTCTGGAAGACTTGACATTTTTATCATTATTAAATGTTCTTCTTATCATTGATTAAAATCTTTGTCCTGAAGTCTACTTTAATATTAAGATCATTCTTGTTATGCTTATTTTTGCAGGACATATCATTTTCTTTCAATTAATCTATGTTTTTGTATATAAAGGCTGTCTTGCTTTCATCCAGTCTGATAAATTCTCTTTTAATCAAAATGTTTAGACATTTATATTTAGTGTAATATTGATGCAGTTGGGTATTTTCTCCCTTTTGCTTTCTATTCTCTGCTCCTCCTTTCCCATCTTCTTTTTGGGTTAGCTAAATATTTGTTTTAATTGCATTTTAAATTGTCTCTTGGCTTTTTAGTCATATCTCTAGCCTTGATTTTTTTTTAGTAGTTGCACTATTAGCCAAGGAAGCTTTCCTCAGTAGTAATTTTAGGGGTAGTCTAGGATTGTGATTTAGACTATCAATTCCCAGAAGACAGAGTCAGGATCTTTC